GCACAGGGACACAGCATGGCACAGGGCAGGGGGGCACGGGGACAGCAGGGCACGGGGCAGGGGGGCACGGGGGCATTGACACAGCATGGCACAGGGACAGCATGGCACAGGGGCACGGGGCAGGGGGGCATTGACACAGGGACACAGCATGGCATGGGGCAGGGTGGCATTGACAGAGCATGGCACAGGGACACAGCACAGGGGAGGGCTGGCACAGGGGAGGGCTGGCACAGGTCAGGGGGGCACGGGGACACAGCACGGCACAGGGACAGAGCTGGCACAGGGGAGGGCTGGCACAGCTCAGGTGGGGTACAGGGACAGCCAGAGCATGGCACAGGGGAGGGCTGGCACAGGGACAGAGCATGGCATAGGGATAGAGCACGGCACAGGGGAGGGTGGCACAGGGAAACAGCACGGCACAGGTAAGGGAGGCACAAGGGAGGGCTGGCACAGGGCAGGGCTGGCACAGGGACAGAGCATGGCACAGGGCAGGGCTGGCACAGGGACAGAGCATGGCACAGGGCAGGGCTGGTACAGGGAGAGAGCATGGCACAGGGGAGGGCTGGCATAGGGGAGGGCTGGCACAGGGACAGAGCACAGGGGAGGGCTGGCACAGTTCAGGTGGGGTACAGGGACAGCCAGAGCACAGCACAGGGATAGAGCATGGCACAGGGACAGCATGGCACAGGGAAGGGGCTGGCACAGGGGAGAGCTGGGGTACAGGGACAGCCAGAGCATGGCAGAGGGGAGGGGCTGACACAGGGACAGAGCACGGTACAGGGCAGGGCTGGCAGGGGGAGAGCTGGCACAGCTCAGGTGGGGTACAGGGACAAAACATGGCACAGAGACAGAGCATGGCACAGGGGAAGACTGGAAACTCTGGTTGGTTACAGGGACAGCCAGAGCATGGCACAGGGAAGGGGCTGACACAGGGACAGAGCATGGCACAGGGGAGGGCTGGCACAGGGACAGAGCATGGCACAGGGGAGGGACAAAACCCTGGAATTTCTTTGCTGTCCATGTCAGGAGCCCCCTGAAAACAAGGAAGAGAAGGCTGGGGGTGATTAACTCGGGGTGTAATGACCTGGAACACCACAGCAACCAGCACCATTGGCATCCTGGGCTGCACCTTGGGCACATTACTGCCAGTGGTTCTGTGGAAGTGTCTGTGGGTTAACTGGGTGTTCATCCCGGATTTTGGAATCCTGGGCATCTGAATCAGGGCGTTTACTGGGATTTGAGTTCCAGGGGAATGTTTTTATTCCAAGGCTTGGTGGCTCGGGGTCTCCCAGCCGGGCTGGTGACACCTTTGTGGTGCCCAGCAGCTCCAGGAGCTGGGGATGGAGTGTCTGGTGTGTCTCCAGTGTGGAACAGCTGGGGTTCCTGAACAGCTGGGGTTCCTGAACAGCTGGGGTTCC